GTGTTCAAATTTAAATCATTGGCATTTTGTTCAATTGAAATTTAAATCATGTTCAATCATCTATCATGGTACTGTGATGTGTATAATGTATATATATATACACAATTTTTTAACAAATAATATGTGCTTTATAAAAATAATATTTATAATTTCACAAGATTTTAGACGTAAAATCTTATTTTTAATCACAATAGAAAAATCATGGTATGTTTATTGGAAATGTGTTATGGGATAAACAATTAAATAAATAATTAAATAAAATACTGAATAGAAATAGAATGCATTAATTACCTTTGACTTTTCTTATTACTAATTCTATTAAATAAGATAGCTTTTTATATAAGTATAGATTTAATTAATTTTTTAAGGAATAGATTCTAAATTCCATATTGCAGAGATCCTAATCGGAAAAGACATCTATTATATATAATAAAAAGTTTGTTAAGTTAATATTTATAGAGATTCTAATCGGAAAAAACATATATTCCATATTTATAGAGATTCTAATAGGAAAAAACTATCTATTCCATATTACAATATGTAATTAATGAAAGTTTGTTAAGTTACTAATTTTAGACAATAATTAATGAATTTGGCGGGAAAGTATTACTAAAAGTGAATTAAGTTAATCCTTATTATATATTAATAGATTTCAGAATGTGCTAAGCCTACGTGGCTGCTTCTGGTGCTTCGGAATCCTATTTGGTGAAGAATCATGCTTCGTAATTAGGTTTGGACAAATAATACTAATATATTAATAATTAATAATCTAGGTTCGGGTATTCCATAAATATTATTTAGCTAACTTATGTATTTTATATCACTTTTACTAATATAACCCTTTAATTCTTTGTAATTTTACATAGTGGACACTAAGTGACTAATATATCCCTAAATTTTGATTTGCTTCCTTCTATAAGCTATTGAATTATAAATGTATTTTAAAAGTAGATAATTTTTGTATTTCTTATCGGTTTTACATATATAATATATCAAATTAACCATCTTTTGATGATCTTTGATTTGACATCCATATTGTATATATAAAATAAATAAATTATATTTATCTTTATAATGATAAAAAATAATAATATTTATTAAAATTCATTAGAAAAATAAAATTATTTCTTAATTAATATATTTATATTTAATGTAGTTATATATTGTAAGTTAAAAAATTAGTATGATATAACACAAGTAAGTCGCACAAATAAAAAGTATCATAATAAATATATAATAATATATATTAATCCAGAACGTGCTCCGGAATCATATGTGGCAAAATTACATGATTCGTTATTAGATTTGGGTAAATTTTAATTTAATTCCAAACAAAAAATAATTAGGTTCGGATTACCATAAATATATTGATTATTTATGGTCATGTTACATGTATTAATTGCATTTTAATATAATTCCTTATTATAATTATTGAATTGTATATATATTTTAAAAGTTAATAACTTTTGTATTTTTTATCAGTTTTACATATGTAATATATCAAATTAATCTTTTTTTGATGAATTTCGATTTAACATTCATATTGTATGTATAAAAAAATAATTTATATTTATCTTTATAACTATAATAAAATTATTTTTATATTAATTAGAAAAATAAAATTATTTATCAACTAATATATTTATATTTCAAGTAGTTATATGATATAAGTTATAAAAACTAATATAATATAACGCATGTAAGTCATAAGTAACACATATCATTCTAAAATATATAGTAATATATTTTTTTTTTTTGTAAAAAAGTAAACTAAATTTAATATAGTTTTCTCATTAATTTTAAAGTTCAAGAATAATTTTTTAACAAGCACTCGTGTAATACACGGGTGTTGTACTAGTTATCACCTAATACCAAAACATGTGTAGATATTTTCCATTTAATTAAAGGGAAATGTTTCGTTACGGAATCATTCTGTTAGAGTTTGTAACTATTAAATCATCATTTAATCGTAAGAGATAATTGTCCAACGGTTACAAATCTCGATAGAATGGTCTCGTTACTTAATCGTAAGAGATAATGTTGGAATTAACCTTATGCGAAAACCATCGCTTTATCCCAGGAGCATTCATATCAAATAATCGAGAATCAAACTAGATAGCGGAAGCGTACCTTAGGTAGATTTCTAGATTTGATCACCATGAAACATGACTTGGATCACGAACACATCATCAATCACGAACGGTGTTGGTTTTATGGCCTTCCTCAACTAAATCGCCTTATTCCTCATATGGGACCGTCGTTCTCGATTCCGACGGGGAGAAGAGAGAACTATGTTTGATTTAGTGTGTTGGGGACCATAACCAAGAGGGTCTATATATACTAATAGGGTAGGCCACCCATTATCACCTAACCCTAGTAATATTAGGTATCCACTCGTTAAGTCCATATCAACTTATGTAGCCCATGAACTCTACTTAATTTAGATCACTTAATTGAGTCCATTAATTAATTGAATAGCTAATATAATATAATTGTATATAATATGTTGCCCATAATTAGATTATACATAGGAAATAAAATAATTCCTAACAGATAATTGTCCAACCGTTACAAATCTCGATAGAATGGTTCTGTAACGAAGCCGTCGTATCTTCCTTAATTAAATTGGTCAATCAAGTAAGGCGGTGCATGTGCAGGCGGGGAGGTCAACTTTCATCAGCAATCCCTGAAAAAACAATAATAAATTCCCCCTATAACAACAACCCAACCTTTGAGCTCTGAAAATCAAGAGAAAGTTAAAAAAATAAAATAAAATAAAATAAAATAAAAATTCAAATCCTCTGCCAAAAATGTCATCCCTCTTCTCCTCCTACTCCTCCTATGCCAAACTCCCATCCAAGTCGTCATCATCACCATCATCTCCGGCGGCAGCCGGCAAAAACCGTAACTTAACCGCCGCCGCCGCCCCAAACACCGCCCGGCCGCCGCTCGCCGGCGTTTTCCGGTCGATCGACGGTCTCATATGCGACTTCCTCGACAAGAAACCCCTCCGCCCGTCGGTCGACCCGTCGCTCGTCCTCTCCGGCAACTTCGCCCCGGCCGACGAGCTCCCCCCGACCCCCTGCCACGTGGCGGCTGGGGGCCCGGGCCGCCTCCCGAGCTGCTTCCACGGCGGGGCCTACCTCCTAAACGGGCCGAGCCCCCGTTTCCCGCCCCGCGGGCCCCACCACCTGTTCGACGGGGACGGGATGGTCCACGCGGTCAGCTTCTTTTTTGAGGGGCCGTTGTTCTGCAGCCGGCACGTGAGGACGTATAAATACGAGCTCGAGGGCCGGGCTGGCTACCCGATTGTCCCGAGCCCGTTCTCGTCGTTCAACGGGTTTTGGGCTTCGTGGGCCCGCGTGATGTTGGGCGCCGCGCGGGTTCTGGCCGGGGAGTTCGACCCGGTGGGAAACGGATACGGGACGGCCAACACCAGCGTGGCCGTGATAGGTGGGAAGCTCTACGCTCTTGGTGAGTAATTAATGGGTTTTTATATAGTAGTGTATAGGCAAATGGCAATTTTGAGACTGGATTGTTGCTAGTACAACACACTTAATGAATGATTTAATTTTATGATAATTCAAACAAAATTATTTATTTCATGCAATATGGATATCAAATCGAGCTCGTAAGAAATGATCAATTTGATAGATTATTTATGAAAAAAAATAGATAACACATATAAAAGTTGTTAACTTTTAAATATATTTATCATTAATTTTGATCAAATATTTTATAATTGTCAAAAATAACTAATTTGACATATGAAAAAACTATAAGAAATAAAAAAGTTATTAACTTTTAAATATATTATTAACTGTTAAATATATTTATAATTTAATCATAGATTAATTAAGCACCACAAATTGACATTGCATACTCCATCTATATACCATCCAAGTGATGTATTCAAAATATTACTTTTTTTTTATATGCATTTTCTTGATTTTTCAAGTTCTTGTCAGGTTGCGTTTTTTATTTAAATAATTAATATTATCGATTTGACCGTGTTAATACGCAGGGGAGAACGATTTACCGTACGAGATTAAAGTGTCGCCGGACGGGGACATAACCACCATCGGCCGCCACGACTTTCACGGCGGCCCCGACTTCCCGAGCATGACGGCGCACCCTAAAACCGACCCGTCCACCGGCGAAACCTTTGCCATAAGGTACAACATCACCCAACCTCGCCTAACGATCTTTCGAATCGACCCGCAAGGAATCAAACAACCGGACGTCCCGATTTTCTCCATGAACGACACGTCATTGATGCACGACTTTGCCGTGACCGAAAACCACGTGGTCGTGAACGACGTGCAAATGGTCATGAGCCCGCACGAGATCCTCAAGGGAAAGCCCCCGACGAGGGTAAATCTCGGTAAAACTCCGAGGCTCGGTTTTATCGGGAAACATGAAAAAAATGGGAGTGGCATGTGGTGGGTCGATGTGCCGGGTTTCAACGTGTCGCATGTGGTGAACGCGTGGGAGGAGGATGATGGTGGGCCTACGTTGGTTTTGGTGGGGATGGTTATGAAGTCGGTCGAGCACGCGTTTGAGAGAATGGACTCGACGAGGGTCATGATGGAGGAGATTAGGGTAAGTTTGACGAGGAGGAAGGTTATGACGAGGCGCCGGTTGTCGACTAGGGTTTTGGACATGCCGGCCATTAACCGAGCTTATGTTGGGAAAAAGACGAGGTATGGTATGCAAATTGATCAAATTGTACATATCCTTCATGCATTGGATGATTGACACGTGTATGCGGTAAACATTCGAGAAAAATAGGGAGTGGAAAGGGATAAATGTTTTTGTTGTTGAAAAGAAAATGTGAGATGGTATAGATTAATATTTAGATCTCGTATATTTCGAATGTTTTCGCACTATTTTCAAATAGATTCAATCATTGGTTTTATCCTGCATTGAATGATTGACATTGTTGAAAAGAAAATGTGAGATGATATAGATTAATAATATTCAAATCTCATATACTCTGAATGTTTTCGTACTATTTTCAAATCGATCAACGAGGATTAATGATTTTCTCATTGCAAATGTGTATATAGGTATGCATATGCTAGTCAAGTTGCCCCATCATTGGTGACTTCAGGAGTGGTGAAGGTTGATTTATCGTTGTCTTCGGATGATTGCATAGTTGGTAGTCGTACGTACGGGCCAAGCTGCACGGGAAACGAGCCGTTTTTCGTGCCAAGGGAGCCGGAAAATCCAGACTCGGACGAGGATGATGGTTACTTAGTGGCATACGTGCACGATTGCAATGCTCGCGAGTCGAAGTTCTTGGTGATGGATGCTAAGTCCCCAACACTAGAAATTGTTGCTGTTGTTGAGTTGCCTGGGAGAGTGCCATCAGGCTTTCATGGGCTTTTTGTGAGTGAGAGTGAACTTAGCAAAATGTGTTGATTTAATTTTTATCAATCTTTGTAGTTTTTTTGCAGCTAATTGGGCCTTAGCCAATACTAAATGTTACGAAAAAGTCGAGGTCTTTTATAGAAAAACACTATAGAGATGATGTTATTGCACAACAGTGTTAATTGCACTTCGGACAATAAAATGAAATTCAGTTTATAACTCAATTTGCTCTATCATAGATTCATAATACTATTGACATTGTTCTTCTCTGTTTTTCTTATTTTTTTTTTTTTTTCGGAAAAGATAGGGGACTATTATAAATCAAAACGCACAAAGTACGAATAAAAGTACAAAACTCCCAACGGGAGAATAAAATGGGAGGACAGGCCTGACGACCGCTTAGAATCCCGATACTAGCAACGCTAGAAACCTAAAAACACACCGACCCCAAAAGGGTAATAATAAAAAACACAAACAACACAACAACACAAAGACCCCAATAGGGTAATACTCGAGTGTCGGACCCCAACAGGGTAATAAAGGTGACACCCGGCTCACAGAGGCCAACGGCCCAGACCTAAAATACATGACCAAATCAAGAAACAAAACAGAACAACACAACTATAAGCGAACAAACTAAACAAAAAAATACAAGCCCTTCCCAAGCAGTAAGACCAAGCAGAGCCGGCGGAACCAAGTCAACTCAAAGTTGTTAGAATATCACTTGTGAGTTGTCCCACATTGTTCATATATGGAAAATAGACCCACCTTATAAGACTAATGGGCTACTCCTCCTTCCACCAATTGGTTTTTGGATGGAACCCCACTTGGGCTTCATATGAGCTTTTCCTTTCCCCCAGTTTCTTACATGGTATCAGAGTCAGGTTTGAGACATGATATCAGAGCCCACTTTGTGCCTGGGTTAGAGATATGATATCAGAGCCCGACCAACTTTGTGTCTGGGTTAGAGACATGATATCAGAGCCCACTTTGTGCCTGGGT